ATCAACTCGTTACATTTTATAGCTGCAAAATTATCAGTCAAACTGTTAATAAGTATTACTTATGATTAGGTTTCCGAACTGTACTGTTTTTTTCGTTAAATAAAACGATGATAACTGATCACCTTTGTCTTTATTATTTACTTTTTGCATAGCTGAACTCATGAGTCAATTGAAGCTAGACCACTATGGAAAACCTGACGGAGTCCCACAATAGGATGAAACGGCCTTCCAGTGCTTCCAGGTTTTCCATGGTTGTCTAGCTTCAATTGACTCATGATTTCAACTATGAAAATATTAAATTCTTTACAAAACCCCTTCTGATCTTTATTATTTATCTTGAGTAAGAAGTAATTGTTAATACACTCTTGTCTTTTCCTATATTTTTCCTGAATGCTCCTTAGTAAGGTTGGTAGATTAGCTGGACTTTTGAGTTGTTATTATTATGTATGTGTATGTGGAGTAAGCGTTATTTTTTGTTTGGACTGTTTTTCGTATCGTTCAGTTATCCGTTTAAGAAAAAGAAACTTAAATGATTCCAATGGCTTCTTCTTGCTTAAGACTTATTATTCACTTCATACCTTACCTCTTTCGGTATTGATAAAAAACAATTATTGCACTACATGTAAGTGACTGAAATTATATTTATTTATTAAAATTATTCAGCTTGAATCCATTCTAAGAAAACAGAAGTAATTTTATCTACATGTGAGAACTCTACATAGTCAAATTCATTAATGGACTAATTAATTAATCGTCAAAAACATGTTGGATTGGATAGTTGTATTGTTCACTATTGTGACTTCACAGAAGTACATGACTAAGATGATTACGAGATTACTTAATGTTTATTAATAATGACAAGTCCTCACTAGGAACCGTAACTGCTGACGTTTTCCTTCCTTCTACATGTGAGAACTCTACATTCGATTTAATAGATACTTATCAAATTTCATTACATTCATTAAATAGACAGCTGAAAATGTAAATTTCTAACTTGACCTACAATTTGATAAAACAGTATTTCAATGTTTTCTGGTTTCAGTAATTCTATAAAATGTATCAGGTCATGAAAAAATATTGATTTGGATACAATTTCACCTTTAATTGCATCATCATATGATAGCCTCGTGATAATTCTAAGGATACATTCTAGAAGCTTTACAACATCGATACTCAATGCAGAGAATAAAGACGTTATGTTTAGATGATAGTGACTGTATTGTGGGATAATAAAACATCAAGAAAAAACAATTATATTTTTCTAGAAAATATCGTGTCTAGTCTAAATTATAACACCATTTCTCTGGGATGTATGTTGTCTATTGTTTTATTAGTTAAGAAAACTTTCTAGTAGTAGACAAGCTTTAATCAATGATCAACCACTTCATAAACAGTAATACCATGATAGAATTTAATATATGGCTATTAATAGAGCAGCTGTAAATAAAGTAGGCATTATAATAATAATCCACTGGTGATAATAGTTATGGATCAGTTTAAAGTTGCAAGCGCAAACCATGTATATTTGATCGTAAGTGTTGTGATCAATGCAATACTTTTAGGTAATGATAGTTTTTAATTGTGATGTTTAATGATAGATATGTATCTCTGGTAATTTATCAGCTAGATGTCCTGTGCTCTTCAATTTCTAATAATTCTCTACCTAAAATGAGTTCCTAATGATAGTTATCTTAAAGTGATGTAAAAAAGACATATAACTCAGGTGGATATTTTCAGCTGTGTTAAATTCACAGACCTGTGTGGCTTCGTTACAGTTCTATAAGACAAGGTCAGAACTAACTTCACGTAGAAGTGAAGTCCTGGTGATCTGATCAGTGAATGGTTATATGAAATTTTTGTTCATTCTTACTTTGTACTAAATAGTCACATTTCTGTTTACATTCATGTTAACCTACTGATTAATGCAATTTTATGTCCAAAATTTAATGTAAGCCTTGTAGGTCTTTATTTTGATCTTTGAAGGTGTCGTTAGGGTATACTAACTAAGTACTATATACTAAAAAAAGCAACTGTTGAGTACCTCTTCATGCAATTGGTGATGATAGACATTATCAAAAGCTAATGATTTCAAAGTTACCCAACGACTAATCTTTTTACACTAAAAATGCGTTCATTTCTGTATTGAATTATTAATTGTTTAATAAGAGTACATCCAGGTGACCTTGAAAAGTGGTTTTTACCGTTTCGTAATATTTAATTGTGAGCTTGTTTCATTTTATAAAGACAAATCATAGAATCAATAAAAACTTTATTGATGTACACAAAATGTCCTTTTTAAGTTCAGAACGATTGATTTGATCAGCTGATCCAGAGATGGGGATTGAATAAGTTAATTTCATATCGTTCAAACTATTCATGATAAGAATGATCTCGAAGAAATTGATTAAAATTGAAACGACGCTTCATGTCATCACAAGTGTACTAAAAGAACTATAATGTCTAGAACTTAAGTTCATCTGTCATAATATGCTTGGATAATTCGACCAGAGATCTATCTTATCTATATTAAATTATATTGTCCTATGATCTATGTTAACGTTTGGTTAAATAACAAACTAGACCACTATGGAAAACCTGGAAACACTGGACGGCCGTTTCGTCCTACTATGGGACTCCTCAGCAGTGCGCACTGTTAAGCCTTTTGTTAACCTATTTAACTGACAGAGTCATTTGCACAATAACAATCTATCTATACTATTGTACCTTTATTATGTACGCTTGAGCATTGCTTACTGCCTACGCATGTATTCATTCTGCTAACCTTACTATTAATCGCTTAACTGATCCGACGATTCATGCATTCCCATTTGTATATATATGTACATCTTAATCTTGTTCACTGTACTTGATCAATCGATCTCTCGCTCGCTCATTTGACTCGTGCGCTCACTCGTTTGCTTTAAGGCACTAATCTTTCATGCGTGCTTAACGTGCCTGTAGTTTTGGATATCTATGTGTGATTCAATAATAAACGCAATCAACACTTCGTATTCGCCTCCTAATTTATACACCGTTGGGGCGTTATCGAGTAACGGTTATCAGGACGAACAATATACGAAGCTTAAGGATATTATCGAATATCGACCACCACAGGTTGTTGCTTTCTAAGAATTTGATTGGTGGATTACAATCAAAGTTGGATGAAATTTTCTATGAACTACCAACTGATTTTTTATTAACTCTCATTATCTGACTGTTACTTAAACTGTACTTTCACAAACATCTCTTCAAGCACGACCACTTTAATTCTGGAAATATTCAATCTAAATTAAAATTTTAACTAACTTAGTTTTCTGTAATCAATAGTCAAAAGTGTCTATATGTAATTTAGAAAATAACAGCCTATCATGTCATCTCATTATTTATCAAAACTTGTTAAAGACAGCATTAATCAGATACATTCTGGAAATATCTTCAGTTTTGTAGTCACTAGTGGGTTAGTCCACTTTTGATACAAGATCTTTGTTTATTCAATGAGGTAACGTAAGATGACAACCAATTAATTGTTTATTTTTATGACCAGTTAAATATTTTTTGAGATAGCTCTCCTAAAAATGACACGATTTTAGTCAACCTTTAGGAGTCTTCATCAATAAAAACCTTTGAATCTTTTAAGTGACAAACTGATTGTTTTTACCTGGTCAAACAAAAATAATACTATTCACCCACTATGTTTAAAAGTACTGGTCTATGTTTTCAACTTCAATGTACTTCCAATATAGGGTAAACACCACTTACTATCAGCAATAGGTATGTGGCTTTATTGTTAACTTGGTAACATTTCACCATATGAATAGACTGATATACATTAGTAGTGGTCATAGAATTACTATTTTGTCATCAATCTCGTCAAGAGCTAATTCCATCTTTTTTTATCTAGTCAATATTATAAAACCATTCAGCATTGTTTCTATTAAAGTTGCAGATATGTATATCTTCAAAAGTAACACTGTTCAGCTGTTTTAAAAAAGTTTTAAAAATAAACGATAATGTTTTACAATTCTAATTTTAATAGCCTCATTAAGTGGTCCATTTTCTAGCTTTGCAAAGAAGAGAAATGGATCACTTAATGAGGCTATTAAGAAGCTTGATCTATATTGCCGCTATATCGACGACACATTCATTGTCGTAGATCAGAATACAAGTAAGGATAAATTCCTAGAACAATTCTATTCCTAGCGATATCATATATCTACAACTGTATTTTTGTAAAATTTGTAAATAATATTAGGAAATAGTTGAAAGCATGAGTCAATTGAAGCTAGACCAGCAGGGAAAACGTGGAAGCACTGGACGGCCGTTTTGTCCTATTGTAGGACTCCTCAACACAATAGGACAAAACGGCCGTCCAGTGTTTCCAGGTTTTCCCTGCTAATCTAGCTTCAATTGACTCACGCTTTCAAATATAAAAATACTAAATCTCCACAAAAAACCGTTCTGATAATATTAAGAAAGTAATATTGGTCATGAAATAAATTCCACGAAGAAACAGTTGAAAACAATAAAGAACTGAATAACTCTTTCTTTGTAGTATGTCAATTCTTAGCTTTTTACTGTACAGTAAAAAGTATGCTCAGTTAAAGGGATGAGAATAAGAAGTGAACTAACTATTAAATACTCAAATGATCAGTAATTGATAATTAATTGACGACATAAAGGTTAAATGACTGTCATAAGTCTTGAATATACTGATTTTAAATTGTGGTGAGTTTGTGAACCAGGATTGTATAGAAATTCCATACATGGAAGAAGTAGCTTTCTAGTACTTCTTGATTTTTAAACGTTTCTGACCAAGTTCAGTTTGTAATGTAAAATTCCGAATCCATTAATCTCTACAACACCCTATAATATCAATATTATTTAACGGTCTCATAGGAATATTTACAATTACAGTACAATCACAATGACTATAATCATAAAAATATGATAACTAGTTAAAGTAAATACTATAATCAATGAAAGTCATTGTCCTCACTTACTTCTTCTTGTATTCTATCAATTTTATCAAGATTTTGTTTTAAACCAATATAATAACGTTTCATTTCTCGTTTAAAATCAGTTTCAATACAAGAATTTTTTCCAGTTACATGTGTACTATTCTCACTTCTTTTCATTTTATTGACATTATGATTCAATATTTTTGTCCAATGTTCAATTTCATCATTAATCTCAATGTCTGTTTTATTTTCATGATTTTCAATATTTATAATCGGTTGTTTCAATGATTTTTCTAATGTACTATTAGTCATTTTGTGTGAAGTAAAGAAAAACCGCTAGATATCACAATTTAAATTATTCAGTTTTTTATTTAAATTATACTTTATCACATGATTTTTGTTTAAAATACCCAATGACTTGATAAATAAAGTGCTTTTATAATATATATTCTACATACTGTATGAGCTTAAATCAAATACCGAAACAATAATTTCTATAGAAAAAGATAAGCTACTTATGAGTAGTTAATCTCCTTTCGTCGGAATTCTACGAAGAGATTGGGATGGCATTATTAAAGTTTTATTTTCATTATTCCCTCCCAACGATGTCCCTCAATTTTCTTGTTGAAATTCTAATGTTTTTCAATCGAAATAAAATATTTAAAATTCTCCCAAGCACTACTTATACTTGTCTTCAATTCTTGTAATCTATTACTGGTCTTAAACGTCAAATTTTAATACTGATTATCATGCATTGGTTATCTCTAATTGCGTTTTAGATAGCGGGGAATATTCGTAGTACATCAAAAGGAATTAAGTTACTCTAGTTTTTGCACTAACTTATCTGACCATGAATTCCTCGTTGCTTTTTCAGGTAACATCTTTTGAACAAACTTCTCGTGATTTTAAGAAGAGATTATCATCACTTACTACCTTTTCACAATTTGTCATTATAACTATTGGGGAGATCCAGAAAACGCCTCGGAAAAACAGCCAGAAGAGGCTGTGAAGACACTGAGAAGCATCTTATCTAATCAGCATTCACTAGGAGTTTTGCCAGGAACATCTAGAAAGCGGAAAGTCACGTGCTGAATTTCTGATTGGATGATTTCTTATACTACTACTATGTTTAGTAGCATTCCAGAATTTTCCCGAAACCTATGACCATCTAAAATATTCATGATTAAACATTCTAGTAAGACTTCAAAACTCTTGTTTTTTATGGTACAAATTGTTATATATGCTCTCCATAAATTTACCATAAACCGGGAATTAAAATTCCTCGTAATGACTTTGCTTATCCCTTACATTTTGTTGTGTTTATTTATTATTTTACAAGGTCACAGAGAGATTATACTTTTTATTGAACTTTCTCATATTCCTATCTTTTAAGAGACAGTAAAAGCTCGTTTTAGAAATCAACAAATCTTTTCTTTGTGTATTACTTAGATTGAATCATGTACGTCTGTAGTTTTGTATTTATATACCCTTTTCATACATATTTATTTATTTATTTAAACACAAATACTGGTACCAGGAAGCACCAGATATATATGCGCCACACAAATCTCATTTGATTTGTGTGAGGGCTGTAGTACTGCCCAGGTACCCAAACCGAAGCAGGTGGTTTTCTTAAGGGGTTACAACCGGCGCCTTTGACCTAAAGGTTTGATCCACAAGGCAGTGGAGCAACGTAAAGAGATGCAGTCCCATGGTAGCCGGTGACCAACCATTGATTCATACTCCATTTGTTCCCTCAGGATACTGAAGCTCATGTGCACCATTGGTTTGGAATCAGTGTTTTTTCCAACTCTCCTAGGTTGGCTCTCAGAGTCCACTAGTCCGGTTAAGGCGACGAACATTCGCTTTTCGTCCTCTCAATTTCGTAAACAACACCCGTGGCACGAGAAGGCAGTGAGTAGGACTTTCATTCATATACTAGGAGAACAAAATATCCAAGTCAACATCTCCTAATTACAGAATACTTCATTTATCCTATTTAAAGAACAGAGAAATAATGAAATATTTTAATAATCAATCCTTAATATCTATTGCTACGTTTTCATTTACTATTTTAATTAATATTAATCGATTGTTTTAATTTATTAACTTTTAAATAGATTATTAATAAGAAGTAATTAATTAATTAACTAATTAATTAAATTCATCGGAAACTTTTTAATGAATACAATTTTACATTAAAATGATCTGAACAATGTGGATAGAAACGATGAAATGTACTTTTAGTTAAGGTGAATACTGTTAATAGAATAATGTTATGCTTATTTGAGAAATTTTTCACAGTTATTTTTAATAACATCATCAATTATAAGCAAAGATGGATAGTGGCTAGCAGTGAAATCCAGTTTGATGCGCAATTCGTCCTATTTGGGACTGGTCAGCTGGATGTACCTGCATCTGAGAGTTGAGGTTCACTCTGGGACTTGAACCCAGTACCTTTCGCTTCAAACTTAGACTGACTAATGGCAGTTCTAAACATCAATGGGAAGATTAAAACAAACAACACTAAGTGAATTCAAACTTCACCCCGTTGCACAAGCAAGTGGCTATCAGGACTCAGTAGCTGAGTGGATAACGCGAAAGGTACTGGGTTTGAGTCCCAGAGTGAACATCAACTAATTGAATTTATCTTTGTTATAGTCCTTACAAAGTTTTTTCTATTATTTCTAGATAGAATTCTTCTACGATCATATAAAATACTAATGACAGTGTACATTACACATAAAAAAAGAAAACTTACCTCTTCTTATTATAAATTATACATAATACATAAATCAATCAATTCTTCTCTAATTTATTCAGTTTATAATAAACCCTTAGAGATATTGTTATATCCTAGTGAAGACGTAAGTACAGGTACCTTCCAGGACCCATTAATGGACTGTTGTTCTATGTATATTCTTATGTTTTAACTATTGAGTAATTAGATTGTGTATATTTATACTCATCTTATTATAAGCTTCATTTTGACCTATAAATTATTATTATAGGAATTACTGTCCCTAAATTATATTTAGTTTATTGATTATTGTATCCCACGTTCACAGCCACATTTGGCTTGATCTTGTACAAATATTATTTTCTGTTTTATGATGTGATGTAGTCTGTCTCTCTGATATATAAACCGAGTATGCTTGAAATAAATGATTCGTATAGCAGGAGCTGTAATTGGTGTTCTGGACTCAATTGGAAGGGCTGAGCGGACAAGGGACCAATAAAGACGCTAGACTACTCATACCAGTTGAACGTCATTGATTTAGTACAGTGTTAAGATTAGAAAAGTCGTATTTCGATTGCTGGATAATTCACCTGATAAAAGCTGGATATAAGACCACAACAAATTGGTATACGGCCTTCTTCTTATTTCATAGTCATAACAGAAACTACTGGGTTTCTTTTTTAATCAATAATTAAATTGAGTATTCTAAATTTGATAATAACTATCCTAAACAAAATCCTTATATCATTGTCTCTTTTCTTTTTAACTAACAATTATTAATTCAGTAACTAGTGTACACAAAATTGAGAGAGACATCCACCATTGTCTTCAGTGAGTTACTATCTCACAACAGACGTGGTTGAACTCCACTGGTCATTGCTTCTCACTAGAACTCCGGTAAATACCTTTTGAAGTCAGTCATTAGTGAGCATATGTTGATTAACAGCAGAAGGGGTGCTTCCATATTTTCCATGGTGGTCTAACTTCAAATGACTATAACTATTAGCTATAATTATTTACCTGGTAATAAATGTAATTATTTATTCCCTTTAGAAATAGATAAATAAACAAAACAACAACACGAAAGATTATTTTTTCAGCGATATAATAAAATTTAATTTAAATAAAATTATATTAATATTACAATGAATTGATCACTCATCTGAACCCATGTTAACCTTTGTTTTGTTTGTTACTTTTTTTTAAATTGTTTATGAGTTAGTTGTTATTTCTGTCACTGGTATCGTTGACAATGACGACGATGATGATGCTGTCTCTGCGGCGGTAGTGATTAGAGATGTTGTTTGTTCTGTTAATTCTTTTTTTTCTGCTGACTCATTATTCTCCATCTTCTTTTCCTTTAGAATCGACAATGACTTTCGTGCATTTTCAGTGTTTTCTGATGAATCTAATTTAGACATTGAAGTCGTTGTCGTTGTTGTCATCGTCACAGGTGATGATGATGACGATGATGGTAATGAAATTTCTGTTGTTGTTGTTGTCTCTTCACCATGTTCCAATGAATCATCTGTAGAATTTAATGCTTCATGAAGAGCTTCATGAGAAATGACTGTCCAATTGGAATCATCATCATTACTAATACCAGGTACTCTATAATCATAACCAACAGTAGTAGTATTTGAGTCTTCTGTAATAGTTTTCGAAGGTAAACTGAATGTTGCATTAAAAATTATAATGAAAATGTATAAACAACTAAATGAATAGTAGAACATATTGAATATAAAAATTTGATAATTTCATAATATTTCATAGTGACAATTCATGAATTAAATATCTTGGAAGACTTTAGAAGAGATCACGTTCAATGTAGATGTGTATATTGAATTAAACTACCAGCATAAATATATATTTAAGCTTAGTTTGTACATTTTGACTAAATAATAATAACTAAATGTAAGTACGGGAATAATGTGGGCCCAATAAGTCAGATTACAATGACACTGTATAACCATAAATCTTCTTATATGTAGGCTTTTATTCCCTTTGATTTATTCCCTTATTAATAATGGATAAACATTTCTATATCCTGTATGGTTAAGTTAAATACATTAAAGTGTTGAAATTTTATTATTCAAACAGATCTTAATTGCCTTCTAGTTATATAATAACGATATACTGAATATTCAAGGTTCAATATGCCTTATTGAACTATACAACTTGTCATAAAAACAAAACAAAAATGCATATGTTGTGATTGAGGATATCAGTAATATGAATATATATGTGTATACATGTTTGGTATTGTTTTCGATGTATACATGAACCAAATTGTTGTGATAGTTTAAAAACCGCTGAAAAATAGCTTACTTATTGTTTGATTGGTTTATTTCTTAAAGAAGTGTTTTCATCACCAACTTATGTATCTGTTACTTTTAAGACTATTGTAAAAGTATGTATGCACAGTAGCTACTTGCCCTAATCTATCATCCTTTGATCATTGACAACAAGAGTTGACTTTTAAATTAGGCTGAGCTAGGAAGAAGAAAAAGAAAAAGGAAAAGAATCCACGCCAAGTATCCACTGTATCTGAACAGAAACAAAATGTTTCTCAGTGTTATAGATTAGTAGTATTATGTATGTACAGAGTAAGGAATAACTAGACATTGCTATTCTATAAGTATTATATGAAATCATTCATAATTCTGACTAATAATTATAATTTTTACTTATTCTCAATTTTAATTCAAAGTTAATGTTGGTTCTTTGAATTTCATCAGATCCAAAATACTCTATGACTACAAGTGAATATAATTCAATGATAGAAATTATGCAATTCATTTATGTAGTGAAATATTATAAATTTATTAAGAATTCAATAATGATTCATATTTATCACCAATTGCTATATGACTAGCAAATATACTTATGTTGACAAGATTTCGTTGTATCTATACAGGACTCAAATGTATAATACATTAGTAGGTATACGCATATATATATATATGCCCTGGTACTGCCGAGAGTAGGGAGAGTCCGCTTTCCCTCTCCAAATGCTCTCACATGGCCACGCGAATATAGCCTCCGCCAGGGAAGTCCTACTCACTGCCTTCATGTGACATTACTGTTGTTTACGAAATTGAGAGGATGAAAAGCGAATGTCCAGCGCTTTAACCGAGTTGGTGGACACAGAAAGTCCACCTAGGGAAGTTGGAAAACCGTCATTCCAAATCAATGGTGCACATGGGCTCCAGTATCCTGAGGGACCAAATGACGTATGAATCAATCGTTGATCGCCGGCTACCATCTCTTCACGATGCCCCATTGCCTAGTGGATCACATCTTTAGGTCAAAGACTCCGGGTGTGGTCCCCTAAGAAAACCACCTGCTTCAGTTTGGGCACCTGGACAGTATCATAGCCCTCACGCAAATCAAATGAGATTTTTGCGGTGCATATTTATCTGGTGCCCCTTTGTATCAAGATTTGTGTTTAAATACAACAAATTAAATTAATTAGTTAATTCAGTGCCACCTAAGTAACCGTTTATTGTGGGAATCACCTCATGAAAATGAAAAAAAGTATATTAAACGTAATGAAATACTGTACTGAATTAAATTTTCAGTAAAAATGTGATTATTTGCTGAAGCGTCCTAAATAGGACGAAACTCACCCTGTGGATCCAACTGTTTCCCAATATCCGTCTTTACTTAAAACGTTTTGACTTAATCGTAATATTGAAGCAATCTGCTCATAGTGTATCATTTCCAATGGAAAGTAATCGGAGTTCCCTCTTTAATACTAACGGTGTGGATTTGATGGATCTGGTCTATTTAAGAGTTCAGCGAAGTGCTTCACCCATCTGTTCCCCTGTCCTTGAATATCAGTAATTGTCTTGCATTCTTTGTCCTTGACTAGTCTCTCTGGTTTACTATATTTCCCTACCAGTTTCTTCGTCGTGTCATATAGTTGTCTCATATTTCCTTCTCTTGCAGCTTTTACAACTGTCGTTGCTAGATATTCCCCGTTTTTCTGCCCGTCGGCTCTAGTGCTCTTCTTCACTTACTTGTTCGCTTCAGTATATTCAGTTTCCGGCTTAATATTCCCTGCTCTTTTTCGACTGCAGTTGATTCCAATCGTCGCGTTCTTCTTTTCTTGAAACATTTCCGACTTAGATAACAGGAATTTGATTATGACTACAAACTGGATCTGAGGAGTAGCCTTAATTGAATTTTGATTTATAACTAACACCAGACTGTTAATTTTGTAGAAGTGGTTAACAACACGACTGAGATGTAAATGATATCGAGGTTTAAAACAATAATTTATCCAGAGGACAGTTCTGTTATCACAAAATATGTATATGGTAACCTGCCCCAACTGGCAAAGTATCTGTGAAGACTACCGCGTTTGTATTTTTGAAAAGAGGATGAATTCCTGAAATAAAAACATAAAGATTATTTACATCGTAAGACAATGTAAATGACAGCCGGTAGATGTGGCTAAAATTATTAATGATTAACAACAATATCAGTAGGAACTAAGAGCGTACAAAAATGGAAACTTTCGCTCTGAAGCTAAAACTCAAGGAATACAAAAAACTGGAAGTTGCCATCACAATGGTTGAGAGGATTTAATTACAATAATAGATGCAGTATATATTATTGGTTTATGCATGTGGCTTAAAATATTACACGATATTATAACTTCAGAAATGTTTAGAAATGTAACTGTTTACTGAGTATTATAATAAGTAGTATAAAGCAATAAACAAAAAATAAGCTAAATGACAAAAGACTGTTGATAGCATGCAAACAAACTTAAGACAGATAGTAATGATGAAAAAGACTGAAACATTTCCTCACTGTTATGTTTATCACTATTATGTCTGGCAAACTTTTAATTTGCCTGTGTATTTCACTGGAATCCCAATCGCACTACAAACGGTTCAGTTACTGCTTGCCATATCAGTTTAATCGAGATTTATTTAATTTTAAAAATAGTTTTTATTAGTTGAAAGGGGCAGTATTTAAAATCAGGGAATACTGGACAGTCATTTTATTACAATGAGAGGCTTCTCAAGGGTCACAGAGAATTTTGAGGTGTTAAGCACAAAAAACCTGGTGAATTTCCCCTAGTTCATGAATATAAATCAGTAGTTTGAGGGTTAACAGAAGCTGAGGTCATCCTCAACGTTTTCAATATTTACTAGGTAACCATCTCCTTAAGTAACTTTCCATTCATTCGGTGGATGAGTGCTGCTTAAGATTGTGTGGTTTTCATTGACGGTTTAATTTCAAGTCCCAATGTTTACAATTTTTATGCTTTTTATCAAACCTACGAGACTACGTTATCTTGAACATATTCACAGTAGATGATTATGGTAAACCTCGGCCACCTGAGATAAAGTATTTAATGATAATCATACCCTGGTATTCAGCACTAACCCGATAAACGGCCAAAAGTGTTTGGGATTTAGTGATTATTAAAAACGTTGAGGATAACCACAGCTTAAAGATCTTAACCCTGGACTTGTTGATTCTGGATTCAGTCGTTGGTTAAGTCAGTCAGGGGGGATTATGCTAGAATAAAGTCGTTTTTGCATTGATCTTTATTTTGTTAGTAGCTTTACAGTTGGGGAGGATCCGTAACAGAAATTCATCTAGTTCTCGACTTTCTATGTTATTTCCAAACAAGGAGTTTGTATTTAGTGGTTTTCTTTCTTTTTAAAAGATTCAAATATACAAAGTATTGAACAATGTGAAAATTGTTTTTTAATATCTATTATCCACGATACATTCAAATAGCTGGGTATTATGGCTGAATATTAACACAGAAGTTTTAAAACTGATAATTTAAACAGTAAGTTGGTAGACTCATAGAAAGTGAAATCTCCAAGTTCCATGTCGTTCAATCTGTAGCTATAAAGATCATACAAATATATTCTTAATCTTTCTCACTAACTATGCACATATATAGATCAATCGTAAGTTCCTTACTCTATTATTCGTTTAACCACAATGGTTGATATTTAGAAATTTAACTAAGTAGGTGACTACGAAGCTAGTAGTTAGTTATTCCCACCCAACATATTAGGAGAAGCCTATCAGCCCTTCGGGAAAAGAGAAGAGTCTTGCAAAGAGAGTGCGACTAGCCACCAGCAAAAACAAAGTAAAAAGGCTTGTTAAGGTCCATGTTGCGATTTTTAGGTGTATTTAGAGACTTTGAGATCGGTAGTATGGACAGATTCGTTATTCTCTACACTTGTATTGCAGATGGACATGTTAATGTTTACACTTTCTGATCAATTTCGTAAACTTTTATACCAACCAAAGACGCTGATGAGCTATCAGTGAGTTCACCAGTAAAGAAAGTGTGACTCTCTCCCGAGTATGCTGTATATGCATATATTCAAATAACCATATCAGAAGTATATAAATTCCAGTGAGACAGATCGGCGCGGTAGCTAGTATGCCTTGCACGCAATCATAGAGTGCGTAGACAAGTTCGCTCATCCAATTAGTATGTATAGGCATATAAGTTTCCTCTCGTAAGTACATGTACTTTTAGGCCGAGACCCATACACTCCATATGATAAATATAAGTATAGATATGATCACTCCACTCCATAACCGAGCAGCTTCAGCCACTGAATGAATATCAAATTTTAAAATCAGTACGAAAAAAAGTCGTTATAGACGATATGTTCATTTCACGCTTATACTACAAGGAGTTTTATTGTCGACTCATGTGCAGCTGTTAGGACACAGTTTATATCCTACTCTCTGACATGCCCCTTCCAGACAGTCTGCTCAGGCAGCAAAAAGAAATTTTCCTCCAGAAACACAATCATGCTCTCAATCCAAAGTTAACCTCTCTTTTCTAGTTAGTCAGGATTAAGATAGAATGGTTAATTAGCTCGATCTACACCGATTCGTAAAGAGTGAATGATCAGTCCGGTCTATGCTTTACTACTTACTCTAGCTCATGGAAAAGAAGGTCGTCCACTGTCTAGGGATCACTAAACGGAAGTGTAAGTCGGACTTTTCTCTCTAACTAATCCCGAAAGGACAATTATAACGATGAATTTCGGGAAACATTAAAAGATGTCTATAGTTCCTTGTACACTATTGATTTATCA